GCTCGAGCGCATCGCATTACGAAAAAAGCGAAATCGACTAAGAAACGATGGCGAGCGAGATTGCGTATCGATTTGAAATATCTAACTCGGAAATTTTATCGAAAAACTTATCGTGTTCGCAGGCAGGATTTAATTGCATAGGTTTGTGAATGGGTTCGTTAGATATACAGAAGGAGATCGAATCGAACAGATGCGACCGCATTGGCCACCAGCTGGCCACGAGCGTTTTGTTTGTGGAAGCTACACATCTATTTATATCGAATAAACGCTTTGCAAGGAAAGTGCAAATTATCATCAACATCCACTAATCTCGTGAAATGCCACTGAAAATTAGTTTTCATCATGTGATAATTGACGGGAGTTAATAACAAATTGTTTTGATATTAATTCTCTAGTGAACTTTTAATAGAAGTTTATGTTGCATGACTAGAGGGAATAATATTTTTATTACATTATATGTCTGTAAAAATATTAGCATATTTTTATTCTCTCGAGAGATTTTTTATTAGATTATTTTGCGCGAACAATATAAAAATTTATTATTTACAATTTTTGCACGAATAATAATGTAAAATTAATTATTTAAACAGTCTTACTGTTATGTGGAAATAAAATTAATTTAGAATTGAAAATTAAATATATATAATACATTAAATGATTAATCTTTTGCGTAAAAATCATACGTGCGATATCTGTCAAAATTCTAATGCAGTTCTAACATCGAGACAATTGTGAGTCATCCTCCAGAAAAGTACGAGAAATTGCATTGCGCTTGGAATTTACAGTAACTTTTATATTTTGTTATTCGTTTATACAGACCAACCTTATAAAGCTCGATCGATAGAGTATGCGCAATACTTTGATGCACGTATCCTCCGACGACGTGCCGTAGACATCCTAACGGAATATTCGGTGCGATGCAAACATTCCGGCAGGCGCGATCTGCATCTCATATCCGACTGCATGATCCGACGCCGCGTATCTAGTTTGCACGTGAATTACATTACAAATGCAGTTACAAAAGGTCAGTGCCTCTGTAGCGTGCTTTTGTTTTATTTTCGTGTTAATAATCTCACGTTTAAATGAGATTATAATGAGCTCGATGTTATCCCGATGGCTGTGGCACAATGTAAAGGAGATATCTGTTATTAGCTATATATTATATATATGATGAACAGAATGTTCAATGTTTAATTTAATGATTAATTATTGTGAACGATGATAATTTCACAATAATGGGTAAAATGGATAAAAGGTTACAATACTGCTTTTATTTATCAAAATTTTCTAGAATATATATATATATATATATATATATATATATATATATATAATTATATAACATTTTATTAAAAATAAGAATTTTTTAAAAATTATATCTCATACGCAGATATACAAAAATAATATAGTCAATATAAATATAATAAAAAAATAAATAAATAATTGTAAAGAATAAAAATTTATAAAAAAATGAGAAATAAAAAATTAACATCTCTTACAACATTTAGAAATAATTTACAAATGATAGAATTAAATTATATGTATTTTAAATTTTCTCGATTTAGAATTGCTGTGAGATGATTCTGTAAAAATATTCTGCGTTTTTTTCTTTATCTTTTTCTAAACTATTCGTTCCGTAATATTTATTTTGAAAATAATTCAATTTTCTCTTTTCCGTCAATCTATTATTCTCATATGTGAATTAAATTGACGATATCAAGACGGTTGCGTCCACCCTCCTTATTTCTTAGCCGATCACGACTCCACCCCTAATCGATCCCCGGGGGTACTCGATACGTTGGCCTCTGTATGCGGATAATACCCGTCCCGCTCGATCGCAACGGACGGAAAATTTCGGTCCGTTTAGAAGGAAGAGAGAGGGGCACAAACCAGCACCTTCGGTATTTAATAAACATTCCGTGAAGGCCGCAGTTTCACTGGAACGCAAGGGGAACGGGAGAGGGAGGAGAATTTGTCTTCCGCCCTCAGCTGCCTTTTTACACCGTATTTTTCTCGCGAAGGTAAAAAGGGCGCACGGGCTTAAAATTTTCATTCGATTTCAACGGGAAATCCGATCCGTCGCCGACAACCGCGGGTATCCGTTCATCAGGGGTTGCAAAATTAATTAAATTGTTAACTGCAGAGTTTGCCGTAGTCTGAACCGATATATTTGACGCTCTTTTCGTCCTTTATGTGACACAAATCAATTCTGTATGAACTTCTTTAAACTTGTATTTTTTATTTCTTATTTTTATTTATTTTTTTTTTAACGAAATATTCGTTAAACACAAAGACTTGCAAATGCAAAAAGTTAGCTAAATTATTGTTGCAAGGAGTTTTTATCTAGATAGATAGATAAATAAATTAGAATAGGAGGCAAATTATTTGCTAAGGATTACATTTTAAGATTTACACTTGTTTGAAAATCACCATATGATTCTAAATATAACATTGAAAAGACACGAAATTATCGAGAATCGAACATTTCGAGATTATATTTTGAAACAACATATTTTATCATTAGTACATAATTAGTATCCCTTATTGTATTTTGTTACGAAACAAACATTACGAGAATGTTTCGTCGTATTATTTATCAGCAACATGGGTCGTAATTATTTGCACATAAAGCGTATTGATGATTTCCGGAAATACGATCACACGCAATCGTACCGTATGAATTCGATATCAACTTCTATGGATACATTGCGCGTACTATAAATCGACGTATGCTCGATTTCAATTCGCGCTATGGCTGCACATAACTTGAAACGCAGCATCGTGTTCCTTTGATATCGCACGAATTGGATTGCAACATTTGACAACGAACCACGATTTTCACATATTAAAGCTCGTCATGTTTAGTTCTCTTATTGGCCAGCGAGTTTGCATAGCTCGGTTTCAATATATTAATTCGCATTATTAATACTCTGAAATATTGATCATTAATATGATGCGAGTCACTATTGAGTATCTAATACTTGTGATCTAATACTCTCGTGCGGTATATTTATGTAAAAGCGAATACGCGAAAATGGCGCAAACACGAGCTTAATTTTCATCCGGTAAAAACTGTTTGTATCACAGATAACTCTCGCGCAAAGCAAAATGTTATTATTGTATATCGATTTTATAAATGTTCAGTGAATATTCAATTGCAAAGCTCTATTGATACACGTACAAAAGCACTAGTTAAAGTACACGAATCTATTAATTTAGTTTCGGTCAAAATTCTCGAGTAACAAGATGAGGAAGCCTTATTTCGAAAATTTAATACACTGTAGAAAATATTTGTGTAAATTTACAACTATTATAGTGGGTAATATTGAGACCAACTATTAAAGGTGTATATTTACATACATTAATAAATTTACATTTCATAGATAAAATTGTTATCTTAAATGATAAGTAAGTATCTTGTACTAATAAATTTACATATTAGAAGTAGATTTCTAGAAATTTATGTAATAATACATTTTGCATATATATTTATACATATTAAATTTAATTTCAAATTACATACATAATTAGTGTAACAATTACGCTATTTATAACGAAAATATATAAATTCATGTACTTTTACAAAAATTAATTATTTTACTCTTTATTGTGTGTAAATATTCGTTTATTAAGTATAATTTTTAAATTTTATATAAATGTTACAAAAAATTGTACATTTACATAAAATCCAAAAATTACACTTTTAACCTTGTAATTTTTCATCAAATATAAACGAATATTTACACAATAAAGAGTAAAAAAACTAATTTTTGTAAGAGTACATGAATTTATATATTTCCGTTAAATAAATAGCGTAATTGTTACACTGATTATACGTGTAATTCTACATACTTTTTTTACAGTGTATAATAGAATTTCTATGTAAACAAAATTTGCGTCGCAGTATAAAATTTTATACAAGACAGAATTTTGATCTCCGGATTGAGCAATATTCTTACTGCGCACACAGACGTAACCGCGATGCATTAACACCGAGAAGACTTCACCAGAGAAGTGAACAAGGGGGAGAGAAAACGGGGATAAACTCGAGAGATACATCCGAGTATTTTGCCTAGCCTATACCCTGCGACGCCGAATTTACATAAGCGGCTTTCCTCTAGGTAGAGCTTTTCTCCCAGTCCTAAACAAATATTGACCAGGTCGCCTCCTCCAATGTGGTCGGTACTATAGCTCCATGGCTTGACCACCGTCTGCATTATCCGTAAACGCTTATTAAACGGTAGGCGAGATGGGAAATCATGATGTCACTCGCGATCTCGGTTCGAGACGATAAAGTTTAAGGACAGGTTACATTGTGTTATGGGAACATTTATTCTTTGATTAATTGCCTGCGAGAATATTAAATGACGATTAATCTTTAAATTGCAGCAGCATTCGTTTCATCTTGTCATAAAATGTATGAATATTAGTGATGATCGATTTTCATTTATAAAAAAATTTGTACTGAAATGACTGGCAAATGTAAATAATCGAAAAGAGAAAACAATAGTGGGATGCTGCTTTTATACAAGTCGAACGTTTTATTTATGAACTAACTAATAACTCAGAATTGTTATAATAAACTTGAGCATCCAATTAAGGAAGATAGCGTGTTGTCTGAATTATTCTCCTACAATTTGAAAAGATCAATAAACTCAATTAACTTTAAATATCTTTTCACCTGTAAAAAAATCCAGTAAGAATGAGCAACGGGTTAATTTATCCACAACGTGTTTCACGAAGAGTTTATCATATGTCCTTGCTAATAACAAATGAATACATCTTAGTCATTCGATTAGTCAGCAAGGCACGTCTTTCCGACTGATTAATGACACACACATGATGAATAATTGCGTATTATCATTAAGGAGATCGCTATGCGACACTCATTGAGCCGTTAAGGAACATATACAAGCGAAATATAATATTTGCTTTTCACGTAAAACATAATAAGATATCGTTTAAAACGATCGTTAAAAAATTTTGTTTTATTATTACAGAACGCAAGTTATTCGTCGGCATGTTATCGAAAAAGTTCACGGAGAATGACGTTAGAAACATGTTCAGCGCTTACGGAATGATCGAAGAATGTTCGGTGCTGAGGGACAGTACCGGAAAGAGTAAAGCCTGTGCCTTCGTTACCTTCGCTAGTAAGCAGTACGCGATCAATGCCATTAAAGCTCTGCATCATTCCCAGACAATGGAGGTGAGTATAATTAGAAATGATAGAGCGTGAAAGCAATACATAATGTTTATAATACTTTATAAATGATTTTATATCTTAAAATTAAAATTAAGCAAAAAATTATCACAATTATTAATGTTCGAGTAATTAATATTAAGTAATATTTTTAAATTTAAGTCCATAAAAAGTTATAAATTCTGCGTAATTGAGAGAGAGAAAAATTATTAACTTGATAAAAATAATTAAAAGGTTATTAATTCTGAGATTATAAATTTCTAAATTGTCAGGTTCTTTTGCAATTTGCAGAATAACTCTCTGATTCATGTTAATATCAGTAATTCTCATATAACATTTCATCTATAGGTTTATTCTAAAATTATTATAATAACAAATTAACAAGATACACTAACTGAAAAAATTCCTACAAAAATAATTCTATATATTTTTGCTAGAATATAATCTATCATATTTGTTTTTAATTCTGCTTTTTTAAGGTACTATTAATAATCTGTGATTTAATTATAATTTTGCCCTCCATCAATTCTTTTTCTAAATTTTTTATAATTAATTAACAGAATAATAGAACAGAATTTTGACTACTTGAAATTAGAAACGTTCATATTCCAATGAGAATACATAATCTACGTTTATATTGCAAGAAATAATTAGCTGCGAAGATCTTCAAGCGAAAACGATATCATAAAGAAATTAATACATGATGACATAAAGTGAGACACAAAACCGTTGAGAATCTTCGCGGCTCATTTCTTTTCATGGCGATTCAACCGAGCCGATGGATGTATTGGCTCGATGCCACTGTCACTCGACGAAACATCCGCGTGCATCTACAACCCGGCTAGTAACCTCGGTGATATACCAATTTAACTCAGGGTAACTAAAATCGAGCAGTAAAGATCACACACCGAACTGGCGGACACCTTGGCGATTCGAAACATGCCAGGACTTTTCCGTCTCCTACTCTCTCGCACGATACTTTTCAGCGTCCTAATCTACATAAATGTTAGATTAGAATTAAATAGAGACGAATAAATGTTAGCTGTTATCAGACTCCATTTGGCATCGTTTAAAAATAATAAAATGGCAAAATATTAATATTGTGCGTTGGAAATGCGATAGTCTCTCTCATGGCAAGAATTTCTTTCAGAAAAATTAATAGATTCTAAAATGATCTGATATTTTCTACAACACACATGTTCATATATTTCATTCTTTGAAATTCTGAAATAAAATAATAATTTTTTTTCTTTATTAATCATGCTTACTTCTCACTATCAGGATTTTCTTATTTTTATTTCTATTTTTTCTTCACGTGTTATTATCAAAATTTTATACTAGTTATATTAACCATTATACAATTTTATTTCGGTGATATAAGATGTGATGCATTTAAACGTTTAAGTCATCAACAATCATGTCACGAGATATAGCTGTTTCTGCAGAATGGATTATTCGTCCTGACGACAGTTACTGCGCCTATGTAATGTACTATTTCGAATGGTAAAAGCGAGCCGTGCCAAGGCATGCGGGCACGAGGGCAATTTCACTTTAATATCACGAATATTTCCGGCTACAAGTTCTTCGAACTTGCCCGTTCCTCGCTACCGGTGTAACCAGCATAGCCGATTTCGCATCTCCGATTGCATGCGTATTGTATATGGTACATCGACCTCGCGCTTTGCGTGTGTCCGAGTACCGTCAAACGTAAGAGTACCTGTTTCCCTCAATGTAACGTCCGATCACCAGCAAATTCGCGCCAATGTTGAACTTGGACTTGGACCAATAATGCATCGGGCGAAAGGATACGAGATTCAGATGTAAAACGACACTCGGAGCGACGTATGAGACAAGTTCGAAGCTAATAAAAAGAGTATAGAACTATGGCAGAGAAACTTTGGCAGAGATACTTTTTCAAGTTAAGAAAAGAGGACGTATCATTAAAAATGTTGACACAATTCTCGAAATATGAATATTTCTAAAATTTAAAACGGAAAAGAAGAGAATATTATATATGCATTTTACTTTTGAATCACAGCACGAATATTAGTCGCTCTAATTTTGAGATATTCAGTTATTAATGAAGAAAATTTAATTATCATTTCAAAAAAACTGTAAAAACTTATTATTATATTATAAAATTGATATCTCGAACATTGTTTCTATGCTTTATACTTTCGTGTTTTTTTTTATAAAAAAAGAAAAAAATTTGTATGAAAAAATATTTGTGTAAGGAAACAAATATATTTGAAATTGAACGAGGATTTTATACTATTATTTTTTTTTACAAATTTACATGTATTTTGAATGAGATATTGGATCCTATAATTACGATAGCAATCAACATTTCTTACATTTCGCATTTATTATTATGCAACATCAATATTGCACATTTTTCAGGGTTGCTCGTCGCCGTTAGTCGTAAAATTCGCCGACACGCAAAAGGAAAAAGACCAAAAAAGGATGCAGCAACTCCAGTCGAATCTCTGGAATATCGCGGGAGTCAACATCGCGCCGCATTACCTGGCCGTACGTGTGCTTAATATTTTATAATAAAAGCTCTTTGGCCGGTATCAAAGATTCCATTTGCATCGAGAACGAAAATACTCTTCATGGTTCTATCGTTTGAGCGCCTTACACTCGTATGCATTATCTAGCCTTTGAGACTTTCTACACGGCGACCTCAATTTTGTTATGCAAAATATATGAAAAAAAAAAGAACTGAGACTTTTTCGAAGAACATGGCCTGTATTCCTCGAACGCGTACAATGCAGTTCAACGCGACTACCTGCACCAAAGCCTTTGTTTTTATTAAACGTTTCATGAGATTTGCATAAAACCCTACAAGAAAAAGCGTATTTCCTGACGAATTTGCAATCGATCTTCCCTTAGAGAAAATTTGCCGAGAAACCGAATTAAGGGTCTGAAAATATTTAAAATTCCCAACAGAGAGAGAAATTAGATTTATATGTAAAATAAGCATTATTTAAACAAATCAAGGTTTCTCGGCCAAGTAAAAACAAGATGCAATGTTTTTTAAAAAATTTTAATAAAAATTCAGCATGTTTTTGTTATTATAACGAATTTACATTGATAATACACAATGAAAAATCGTAGTTGGATGATGAAAATTTCGTTTGCGTTCACAGAATGACGCGCATACCTTGGCGCCTGCGTCGTTGCAACTGTTGCAACAATTGCAGGCGACAACGAGCGCCGCGACTCCAGTCGCTGCAAACGCGGGGGCGGCGAATGCATTGTCGAATGTCCAACATCAGTTGCTGTTACAACAACACCTTGGCCTTGGAGCGGCCACCCCCGCGCACGCAGCGCCTCCCGCTGTACCTAGTCCGGCGGAAATCAACCCTGCGAATCTGCAGAGTCTGGCCACCCTCGCGTCTTTGAGCAACACTGCTGGTGAGTATGGTCAGTGTCGATTGGTTTTATTTTTATTTTCGCTCATTTGCGTTTATTGTACGCTTTTCGATTAGAATTAACTTTCAAAATAAATAATAAATATTTAAATTAATTAAATAAATTTAAATAAATTTAATTAGATTTAAATGAGATCTTTTTTCAGAGATAGCCGTATTCAGTTATTGTTAAATTAAAAAAAGAAATAATTAATATTCTTGCTATGTTGCATATTATTTTAATGATCATTTTATATTTAATTTTAATTAGAAATATATTTTTTGTAAATAGAATTGTAGATAGAATGCTGAATATATGCTAGAATGCTCGAAATCGATAAAAAGTTATCATATCGTAAAAATATTCGACGTTAACGTAACAGATATTTTTTATTATCAAATTACAAGTAAAATTGTGTACATTGATAATTAAAAAAGTTCACGATGTATTTATCTTTTTTGTCACATCTTTTTTTTTACACGTATGTTTTATAATCAATTATGCATAGTTTTAATACGTTCAAAATGCATGTCATCCACTAGCTTCATGCATTTGCATTTTATATCGCACAATTTGCGTTAGCCATTTCATGTTTTTAACATAAGAATAATTGACGTATAAGATTTTGAAACTTATCTCTTTCTTCTTCAAATGTGTATACTTAACTCGTAGCGTCACCTTTTGACCTCACTTTATGCTAGTGTTCCAATACTTATAAGAGTACTATTTTTGTGAATGAGTTAAAACGTAAATCTTACGGGCAAATTTAAATATATAATTCCTCTCGGGAGATGTAAATCCGCTTTTGCTTAAAAATGTGTCAGGCGCACCATTGTTCCGACGCTATAGAAGCGCTATAGAATACGATAGATCTGCTTTTGTCAGAGAAATCAGATTTTATCCGTTCCTTCTCTGAAATTATTCTTTCACGCATTTTATATTCTTGCATTATATCAGTGTCAGAATAAATTGTATTATTTCACGCTTACAGTCTCCAATTTATGCCGATCGGGTCCCATGAATTATATCTTTTCGAAAATTATAACGAAATGTCCTACCTTTTAGCTTGCTTCGCAATAATAAAATTCTACGTTTTATGGAATCGGGAAGAATGCCAGAACAATGATGCCAAAACCGTGTCTATCATTAACTTTATTGAGATATGTGTTTACCGCTCATTGCTGCAGAACGTATGATCATTCAATGATATTCCAGAATCACGCAATAAATTCACGCAATGAATGTACACGAATCAAGTTCGAAATGACACGGTGTCTACCTTTGATATTACAGTCAAGCTTATAAAGTCTGAATTAAATTTGAAAAAATATCCTAAATTGTATTTAATAGTGATAATTGATGTTTCTAATATACTATCAAATAATTATAAAAATCATTATAAAAATCAAAAAAATTATCAAAAACATCTCCAAATATACTGTGTTGAATTTATTTCAAACTAGGCAAAGCTTAATTCAAATTCTTGTTGCATCACGCAATAAAAGATATATTATTCAAAAATTATTGCGAGATTTGCAAGATAATTAGCGTCGAGGCTCTCCATAAAAATAAATTCTCTCTATAAAAATAAATTAAAGATAAGTTCTATTATGTTGCAGCAAACGCAGGCGTGTCGCCGATGAGTATGCAGAACCTCGTCACTCTGGCAGCTATGACCGGTGGAAACGGCAACCTCCAGGTGTCGCCAAACAGTGAGTAGAGAATATTTCGCGAGGTGTATAATCGGAGAACACATTATCGTACATTAACGTGCAGCTGTAAGTTTCAAACGGAACTGTCTGCTGCTCCGAATTACATGCGTAACTTCGGACCATGCGTTATACCATCCTCGTTTTCCCATCAATTGTACAAATCCATCCATATGCTTATGCATCACGTATGTTACTCGCGCTAGACGGTAAATTCGCTTGAGCAGTCGAACTTTAATGATCGCATGTGTTGTTGAAGTTTCAGGCAAACGGGTGAACTGTCCACGCTTTTATAGGTATTGCATGGATAAAGTGAGCCGAAGTCGCATTGCGATATTATGGTGACAATAATAATGCGACGGCGTGTCTATACTTGTCCTCGAAAAGTGTATTAACAGACTTTAATTGTAATACGACGGTACAATGGGGTGTTCGGATGTTTCAAGACATAACGTATTTGTACAATACATTTGTTACAATTGTAAACAATGCATGCTAGAAGTCGAGAGAAAAAGATTTTTTGCGAATATACATTCAATTTCAACTTTATCTTATTCTCTTATACAAAAAAACATTAAGTTTCGATATGATAATATATTTATTGGATACGCAAATTATCTAACTTGATTGAATAATATAATAACTATTATTTTCATTCTCTGTCTCAATAAGTTATTATGCCATTTTTAATCTTGATTGATTTCTAAAATTTGTATCGTTTGTAGATTTCATGAAAATGCAATATATTAGATTCAATCATCAAATTTAAAATGAATATATAAAATGTTGCAATATATAAGCATATATTTGATTGAAAAGGAATTTTACAAATTAATTTAAATTAAATATAGATTTGATACTTAATCAAATTTATTAGAGCTGTTTTATTAAGCGAATTGAGATTAAGCTTAAATTAAAATAAAATGATTAATCATAAAATAATTAAATCGTCATAAAAAACGATATACTAAGTAAATCCTATTAAAATTTCTTATATCTTTTTTGTATTGCGTGTGTTTGAACCACCATAATGTAAATGTGTAAAGTCTACAGGTAAGATGTATATTTTTGTAGTTAATTGCATAATTATTTCTCTACCGGCTTTTATTCGTATTTGCAAAGCAAACTAATGCATTTTTATTATTGTACCTTATATGTCCACGATACGATGTTTCTTATATGATTTATGTAAAATACAATAGAAAAGTATACAGGTTACATCATTGCATTTTCTTAGACATCAAACACTTGTGTAATTATTAATTGTATAAAAATGAGTTTTTTAAATAATGATAATAGGTAAGTTGAATATAAAGAGAACCAATAGATCATAACATTACAAAAAAATAAAAAAAAATGTGACTGTCTATTCTTGAAATTATTTTAATAATTACACAATATTATACAATAAAATTTACTTTTTATATATATATAAAATATAAATTATCTGTGATATATTTTGAATCAATAAAATAGCTTAATATATTTTAAAATCAAAATATGAAAAGCTTAATATTAGAAAAAGAAGAAATAAATTTTTCATATTAAATTATATAATAAATACTATGAAAAAAATAAGATTATTGATAAATTTAGAAATTTTATTACATAATTTTTTAAATATTTTACTGCATAATATTTTTTTTCAATTAGCGAATGTTGAATAGTTTGTCTATAAAAAAATTATGCAATGCAATAACGTAAGAGAAAAAGATAAACATTTTTTACGAACATTCCAAGCTAGCCTTGCAAACTTGACTCATCGTATTAATTTGATGACACAAGTGAACGCGTACCGTTGACTCTGCAATTTCCCAGTCGCAATTAAAAACATAATATTGGCAGTATTACCCGGAAAATTCCGCCAAAGCTTCATTTCGCGAATATATCATATATAGATATATATTACTGACTCTGCTTGTTAATACCGTAAACGTGTTTTGTGTTTCAGCGTTAAGCGGCCTGGCAAATTCGACAGCAGGTATGTCGCTATGTACGTGTCGCATTGCCTGGTACAGTATTAACAATTACTAAATTAATTTCGATCATGTAAAAGGGGCCTTAATCCTGTTGACGGTCTGATTTCCCCATTTCGCTTATTTAATAGTTCACGTGCGCGCGTGTGCACGCATTTTCCCTTTATCTCTTTTCCCAAATTTCCCTCATTCGTTCCTGTGTCTCTACCTATTTCAATTTTCATGATGGATCCAAATACTCCTTTACGCGATTTTACGTATCGTATATTAAGAGATTATTTCCTCGAATGCGAGGTATCAAACCAAACATTTCAATACAATCAATTATGTAATTAATAAATTACTATCGAAAATTAGAAAATTTTTTCAGATATTGATAATCATAGTTCTATCAAATATCTCTAATAATTTCATCATTGATATTATCTGCCAAAAATTTCCTGATAATATAATAAATAAAATCGATTTTTGATTTCTTATTTAAGCTTATCATAGAATTTTAAATTCTTATAATAATATTAATTTTAAATATATAATTACCAAAAAATTTTACAACAAATTTACATAAGAACATATTATGTTTAATGATGAAAAATACTTTTTTGCGAGAATTATATTTGTCATCTAATTAATTATGACGCTTGTGCACTATATTTATGCTATTATGTAAGCTTCTATACGATGAGGTTAAAACCGCAGGAAGAAACGGAAATGTTTTATTATTTTTCGTACCGTATTAAACATATCATGTAACACATGATTACAACAATATTTTACTTTTTTCGCTTTCTTTTATATGAATATACATCGCAATCTTAACACTGCGTATTTTTTTTCGTGCGTAGCTGCTCTTCTGGGAAAAACAGGAAATACAGGTGAGACATTCATATAGGAAGAAAAATTGTTTAGCTGATTTTTATCGTATCTTAGTACTATATATCTTCCTCTCGAATCCTTATTTCGTCATTTCTTTTCTGTCACTCGTGTATATTTTTTATTATTGTCTCTTGTATATTTTGTATAACGCAAAATTAATAATTATTGTTGATTGCAAATTTAATTAATCAAACGGGTCTCCCATGTTAGCAATGCTACATATATTATTCTTCAATATATTATTCTAGTCAATTGTAAAAGTCAAACAATTTCAAAAATACATCGGATTAGATTAACGAGTACAATCAGCAGAAAAAAAATGATAATCTTGCTTACTTGGTTTAATTTCAGACCTTACAACAATTTTCAATTAAATTAAAATTAAGATTAAAACTTTATGGATTTTTATAAATTAGAAATTTAATAAAAATACATAATAAAATCTTATTTTTTAATTAAAATTAAATTAATCTCGTTTTTAATAAAATTTTAATTTAAGTATAGTCGGAAGAATGTAAAATATTAACAGTGAAAAGAATATAATTTCAATTAAAATTACTGAAAAAAATTTATAGTTCCAAATTAAGCAGAGAATTTTGTAAATTAAAAAATTATATAATTATATAATAATTTTATGATATTGTATATATATAATTTATTTATGATATGGATAGAAGAAAATCAAAATTACTGAGTGATTGCTATTGCTAGTGCACTAAATTGTTATTACGAAAACTTTCTCAGATACTAAATTAATGCATTAATTGGTGAGACCCGGTTGGCGCTTTTAGGAACCTAAATATTTTTATTCTTTATCAATCGTAAAATTGTTGTTTTAACAATATGTACATATCGGACTATTTGTGTATGTATATTTGAAATGTATTGGGGAAATATATGATTCTCGCACAAACGCTTATTGCAATTAACGGGGGTGCACGATTTTTCGTAATAAAAATTTAATTGGCAATAATATTTATGCATAATGAAAAAAGGTAGGACTTTTCATAAAACGCTTATTCATCTGCAATTAATCCGCAAAATATTTTTACCATGTATAATAAACAATGATTGCGTACATATACAGAAATGTATTTTATATATTTTATTTCTAAATTAAAATATCGTTAATTATATTATAATGTATGACAAATTTTTTTGTCAATATTGAGGAGGATGATACCTTAGATTTTAAAATTCCAATTATTAAAAAATATTGCATAAATTTCTATCAAGCAAAGTATTTTATACGCCATATTGCAATTTTTGTAATTTTGTAATTTTTCTTATTTACGTTAAACTTTAAATTGTTTATAAATATCTTCTTATATTTCTTTTTATCTAAATATTTATGAAAATAACATGAATATATTTTCAACATTATTCATATGATTATTCATATGACATTATTTAATATTATTATATTTTATATTAATCATATCATAATAATTATATTATAAATATTATATATTAAATATTAATATATTATATTGATATATTATTATGTATATATTGTATGTCAATTTCAAATTGTAAGCTCCGGATATTAGATTAACGAGTACAATTAGCAGAAGAAAAAAATAATAAGGAACGGTATACTATGAAATTCTTTTAATTAACTTTCTCATATTTTTCTCGAATAAATTGTCGCTAATAATTATCTAATAACTACCTAGTTAACTATTCGATAAAATTTGTTCGTCGTAGTAAGATAAGATGCTTTTTGCCTCTAATGGTGATAACAGCAAAGTCGGAGCGATTAATGTTTTCGCGACATCGCAGCATGTGAGGCATGCCGCGGAATTAATTAGGCTTGGGTATCGTTGAAATTTGCTCTTGAAGATCAATAAAAAGTAACATCACCATAATATTTGTCTTCAAGGGTCTACCGGGGGCAGTCTTAGTCCTGTAACATCTCTCACGCTCAATTCCTTGACGGGGACGCCATTAAACGGACTTCAGGACTCGCTGAGCAACGCTTATTCCAGTTTGCAACAATATGCAGGTAATTGTTTGATTCATCGTGTCATTTTCGATATATACAGAAAATCACTAAATAGAGTCAAGAGTGCTTTTTTTGTATCCACATAAACGCACAAAAAATATTATTTTCTAATGAGTTAACTGTGCGTATTAAAGCTCTCATTGGAAAAACGACGGTGACGGTGGAAAAGAAAGAGTTGCATAGTGAGTAATATAATTAAGTAGACTGCCTGAATATATATTTTTGTGAATTGTTTATATAACGTCAAGTCATTCATATGGTTGACTTTCGGATTAATATACTTTTATCCGATATGATATGACCAATTACCGTTAGAATTTAGAACATAATATCTAGGATAAATTAATTGACATTATAAGTATTACAAAAAATTATGTTGAAAAAAAAAATATATCGATTATTGTAGCACATATATAATATATGACAATAATGATTAATCTTCTTATTGTTAAATAAAAATCTTATTTTTGTTCGCATTTAATATTTATTTTTATTAAAATAAAATATTTAATTTTAAATCTTATCTAGAATATTTCATTGATTAAAATTAATCAATGAAGTTGCAATTAAAGGAATTAGTCATTGAAAAAATCGGGACAGCATAGGAATATGGAAGTGAACCAAATGGATGTTTGAAAAAAGTCGACCAATTTTGGTTCGCATGTACCTGTTAGATAATCCACATATATATATCCCAGTGTATATAAGATATATTTATAAAAAAGTAAAATAAATGAAAACATAAGTTACAATTCCATTGTTGCAAATATTTAAGAGCTTATAATATTTCGTAATATTTTCTTATATTATCGTACAATTTATGATTTAATTTTATAATTGCATAAATATGTAATCATGTATAATATGTAATTATTTTTCTCATTCTATTTTTCATTATACATATTTATTTATTCACGGTCATTTTTTGGAGAGATTTGAATGAATCTAATATACATACAACATTTTCATCAATTAAGTCTCTCCCTGCTTTTATGTGTTTGGTGTGTTTCTATAAGCTGAGATGTGTGCATTAAATCAGTGCATAGATTTATATTGATAATTTAGTCGCATTTTTATCAAAAAGCAGCATAAGTCAAATTTTGAAAAGTCAATTTGCTATATATTTGCTATATTGAGGTAAATGAGGTAAAATTAGAATGCCTTTTTCGACGACATTTTTGAAATTCGATTGATGTCACTTCGGAAAAAAATAACACGAGCATCATCAACCATTGCGTTCGGATTTCAGGGTTTCCCGCGTTCACGGCAGCTGCGGCCGCTGCGGCGGCGGCAACGCAAAAGACGAAGTTCACCAACACAGACAAGCAGATTGAGGGTCCCGAAGGTTGCAACCTCTTTATCTACCACCTGCCGCAAGAATTCAGCGACACGGATCTCATTTCCACTTTCTTGCCCTTCGGCAACGTCATATCCGCCAAAGTTTTCATAGATAAGCACACGCACATGAGCAAATGCTTCGGTAAGTTGAATTAATACGCTTGAATAATGGAAGGAAGTCGAGTGTTTAAATACGAAGATGGCTTTATATATGACTTGAGAGAGCTCTGAACTAAAATAATTTTTGATTTTCCATTCCGATTAAGAAATAATATTGTATTCAAATTATAGGAGACAAAATTAAAGTAAAATAAAATGAAAATTAATTCTATTCCGGTTCGAATCCCTGCGAGTCGCGCGATGCGATTATGGACGAATGGAATGTATAAACTCTACATTTTAATTTCTACATTTGAAATTCCGCTTTGTTTCAGGTTTCGTATCGTATGATAACGCGACGAGCGCGCAAATGGCGATCCAAACAATGCACGGTTTCCAGATTGGCATGAAGCGGCTGAAGGTCCAGTTAAAACGGTCCAAGGACGCCTCTAAGCCGTACTAGCCGACGTCACAGAGCGTTCGTAGGTAGATACCAAGGACTTCTCGGACATCTCGGCTCGACGGCGTCCTTAATCAGGACGACGCTCGCACGTTTAATTTATAACCGCGATAATTAATCATTATTCCGCAGCGGAGTATCACGTTTATTAACGATAGGTCTAGATAGAACAAAAAGTATTAGGTGGCAGGATTCCACGATGTTCTCTAGTCAAGCAGTATTTTTCACGAAGGTAGCGAGCTAACAGGCTACGATCAAGCGTCCTCAGGACGCCGAAGAGGATACGTCGCCGCGCGACACCTTCGTCGTCCTATCGAAACGAGGCTGTGATAATCAGAAGACTCTCTTGTTCATCGGACTTGACTTTTCTTCCGAGGTTCAGGAACGTAATTTATCGTTTTAACGTGTCGCTTGTGCGAACTGTCCCGCCGAATTGTCTTCTCTCTCTTCTACCTACCGGCCATTGTGTGAATTCTCAGTACATTTTTAACAAATCTGTCTATTCTGTCCACGTCCGTCGCGATCGTATATCATAGTTACATCTGTTAATCCTTTCAGTGCCGAATTAAATACAGAAATCCTACTTTCTTCGACAATCCATTCCAGTAATTTTACGAGAAATAGAATAGGATTAGTGAATGTAATAAGTTTATAATATTAGCATGTTAGTATTTCGAGCAACTTGATTTCATATAATGACTGATTTCAGACACTATTCCTACAATAGATCTATCCGACGAAATATAATTAATCAAGACAATGCGAAATCTACTTAGGAGTTAAATGGGCCATTTATTGAAAGTGACGTTGCATATCTCAAATTTTAAAAGATATTAATACAAACATTAGGAATATATTTACTATATATTCTCACCGAGGGAATTTACACAAGGGAATTTACATGCAAGAGTTACATATGAAGATGACTTTATTCCGCTTTCAAAAAAGGATAGAGAAATTTGTATATAAAGGCTTTTACGATGTGATGGTCTACATGTATAATCCATTTTAAATAGACTTCTTAATTCAATTTTTACCCTCGCGATAAATACAGTAGCTTTCGAAATAAATGGCTCTAACGTGTAATATTTCAAAAGAAACTTTTTCACGCGAGATGAACGAAAGCTTTTTGAGTTTCAACTCGATTTTCGAGTCACAGTTTATTACGTAGGGATGGACTTTGATATTTAGCGTTAAACATGTTTATTCGCTCTTGAATTCAGTTTATTTACGTAGTAAATTACGAAGTAAAACATTTAATATGTAAAGAAAACATCTCTGATACGAATGCACGGTGAAAATCGAATATCCATGTTTATTGCTGAATACAGTAATATAATACAGGTCTTTCAAATCGTCATATTCGCCCGTATTTATCGCACGGTGTCGAAAATATGGTCGTCTCTTCGAATCTCGAAGATGCAAAAACCTGGCGGCACGTTCCCGGGTGACGCAATCAAACAACATCTCGTTGCAAAAGGCTGCCAGTAAAGCTTTCTGTGCTAACTTACTGTTGCACAAAGTGAAATTACGTACGTGAAGTTCACTAACAACGTAGCTTTTCCTCCCCAGGAGAGTAAGAGTAGTTTCGCTTTGAATTTTCACGCAGCGTTTCACGAGTCGTACCTTGTAACCATTTGACGATTTGACTTTTCTCTCTGTTTTTTTTTTCTTCCTGTATTTTTGTAATTTATCTCTTTCTATCTTTCTTTTTGTCTCTCTCTCTCTATCTAGCTCTCTATCTCAATAACCACGTAGTTTAAGCCAGCAGTTGAGCCGGCAATATACGAGCGATACACACAAGGATCTACCTCACTCATTATAATTGTATCAGCAGCTATTATATCGCGTGTATCCTTCGTTCAATGTTCGAGGCGCACAGAATTGGAGACGTTCTCACGTGATAATAATATCACAATAATATCAAGTTTTTTTTTTATGGTTATAATCACGCTACGACGCTTTATTAGTTAGTAGTACTAACATTGCCATGTGATTTTTTTGGGGGGGGAGGGGGGGGGGAAGTGTACAGCCGATCGTCACAAGCGGCGGATAAGCCGATCGTTTCCGAAAGAACCGTAATTTACTTTGGAAAAAAAAAAAAAAAAAAAATGTCCTACTTATTCTTGTTTTATACCATTGTCGCAATTTTCGCTTGGTCCAATCGAGGACAAACGGCTTTCAACTATGAAACGATTATTGGATGTATTGTACGTATAATTTGAACTGCTATTGCAGTTATTTGCATGTAATCTAAAAACCGGAAACCGTCAGCAAATTTCACCGACCGCGTTGCATCAGCAACGAGTTTCCATCGATGCGCTGCCAAACACTTTGTTTCTTTTTCCTTGTGACTGTCTATCAAGCTGAATAAAGTGGACGCTCGTTGCTCATGTCTAAAAAAAACGACTCGGCAAACTACCTGTGTACACGATGCACGATGTTGGTTTGGAGGCTCCGCAAAGATCGAATATAATCTTTTGACAGTCGAAGCGATTGTGTCATGTGCGCAATTTTCTCATCGGACGTACAGCTTTCGAGATATTGCCTTATAGAATATTAATTTAATAGGATAATATCTCGAAATAATTTTACATTTTTATTTGTTAGCACTGCCAGTATAAAATATAATAAAACTATGTAATATTTAATAATAATATTTAATATAGTTAATATTTAATTTTCCAATAACATATTCAATGATTTTTGAAAGTCCAGCTTTATAAAGAATTGATCGCATCACATCATTCGTAATAACAATCACGATTCAAGATCGATTATCCGCAGACAATTGGGCACAACAGAGATCGCGGAGTCCCCGGAAGAACCATCATCGCGCGCGTTTGCCCGGGGATAAATCTTTATATCTGGTGTGTGGTGGTGACTAACCTGTCCGTGTGTTTGTTTGTGTGCCAGCAGGTGGCCTGTGACGTTGTGACCGTGTACTCTCGATCGGAGTCGCCGTGCCATGTCAGTCTCAGTCAGTCAAATCGGTATCGATCGTTCGCTCGATCGGTCGATCGATCAGTCACGATTCCCCGGTCAGTCTCTCGATCAGTCTATCTGTGTCTGTCGGTGCCTGTATAAAGAACAACACCCGCTCAAACGCGCTCTCACTTCCGCCGTAAGATCCTCCGCCCGGTCGACCTCTTCTCTCTTCTCATCTCATCCCCACGACCTTTCGCGCGCTTATACCACCTGTATAATCCACGAAGGCGCAACACCGCTCGTATTTTGCGATCACGTCGAAAGTTGCGTCTCGTGTCTTCTCGATCGCGGCTGCACTCGCGAAACGTAAGAGGATTCACGGAAATATGCTGGACGTACGTGCGAAAAATCACGAGCGAGAAATTGTGCGGAGGAACACGATGAAGAGAGCCAAGAAAGTGGAACGGAAGGTGAAGAATACCAACGGCCGAGCTGGGTTTCTCGAACGAAGCTAACGCACCACGTTAATTGTCTGTCCTTCTTGCGTGTATATATATATATATATATATATATATATATATATATGCAGATATATAAATAAATTATACATATATGTACATATACATATGTGTGTACGTGTGTATATGTGCGTGTGTCGAGAGCGCGACGAGACTTCTTGTGGCTGATTAGCGGTAAATGTGCGGCGTTTCTTTACATCCTAAGATGAAAGGGGTTAAAAGTATGAGAAACGAGCTGTCTAAGGAAATTTCTTATACATAACTATACATATACATACATGTTCATAAATCGGATTATCGACTGAGAACTATTTTTATCGGCTCTATCGTCGAGATCGCTGTCAGCGCTTTTCACAGCGTCTGTTTATATAATATATATATATATATAATATAAATATACATATACATACACATACGCATACACACGGCGAATATATGCGAATTGGACGTCTAGGCGAGATGATATGTGTGTATGGACGAAAAAAGACGCGAGAGAGACGGAGGCTGGAAAAGGAAACGCGAATGAATGAACGATGATCGTGCGGGACCGACGCGCGTGCGATTTCTTAGGTTTTAAATCGTGCAAATATATATACCAAAAACGAAACGGATACAAAGAAACAAACAAAAACCGATAGGTAGCGAAGAAATGAATGTAAGAAACATTTTGTAGTAATGACCTTTGTGATAAGATTATATCGTATATAGGGGACCGGATTTGGGGCGAAATGAAGCTGGACCGGATCACTCAGAAGTAACACATCAGGCGTCACGCGTTAAATCCGCGTATCCAATTTTTATGCCGCCACTGGAAATGCTTCGCGAACGTAGAAAAGTACACGAGATGCGAGAAATTTTTAACGAGTTTTAATGTCGGACGAGTTTCCCGACCGCGCACTTGCATCGTCTTCTTCGTCGGATTCACAAGCTGCACACTTTAATGCAATTCTTATGCAATCTTAGCTCTTCGCAAAAAAGCTGGATGCGGGACCGATCCTGTCGACAAGCTGCTTGAATCGACTCGAGTTAAAAATCCACAATACGATAATACGGAATGCGAGATAGAAAGATATTGTACTAAGAATAATTGTATAATTGTGAAACAATTTTGCATTCGAAAAAAAAAAAAAAAGATAAATTTACTCGAGTAGGATTGTATCAGCGCGTAAGATATTTTGAAATAATTCATTCGTGACGCCGAATATAAATTTGCTTTTTGAAAATATAAGTGGAAAAACATTTTAGGTTTTGGGGGATCAAAATTCTGTCGATCACGTACCGGTTTGTAGACCTCGGATAATTATAAATTAACGATGTGCTTTTTATGTGTGAGATTTATCTTTTCATTATTTCTAAGGTAATCGACGCGATCGAAATACTTATTAAATTCTATCGAGAGAAAACAAATATATGTCGATGCTTACGTCGCAAATAATACATCTGGCTTTGATTCAAGCAAAACAGATACTTGGACATTTTGCTTTTAAATGCAGATAAAAAATGCAAATGACGAAATTTCAAGTGTCGCGTGAATGTTTTCGAAATCACGTAATGGAACGATAAATATTATAAATGTTTTCAGCTCGAGATGACCAACGCGAAAGTCGATTGCATGACGAAGCTGTGCGATAATTGTATTCGAAAAAATCAAAACCGTCGTGCAAGGATATACACAGGGTTAGTGACTAAAAATAAGTAATTCTAAGTGCTCTAGTCTGGATGTATGAACGCCTTCGTGAATGTTAATTTAATATGAAAATGTGAAACATCTTAAAGTCGAAAATCGCATAAGTGAATCATGTTATTTAGTAAAAAATCATCATTGTAAAATCTTAAATTAATATAAAATAATATCTCTTTTTTTTGTATAATTTCAAATTTTCAATT